ATGGAAATTGCCCACGCCCGGTTAACTCCTGAAGAAAGAGAGAGACACAGACGAGAGGGCTGCTGTATGTACTGTGGAAAATTAGGACACTTTAAAGCTGACTGCCCTGCCTTATGTTCGTCTCTGAGGTGCCTCCCAACTGCTCAAGATCCTGTGGTGAGTGAGTTGACTCAATCTTCTAAGTGTTCCTCAGGATTTTCTATTATGTCTACTTTGTTTTGGGGTAATAAACAGATCCCACTTCTAGCTTTTATTGACTCGGGGGCAGCGGGGAACTTCCTCGACGCCTCCTTAGCTCAAGTTTGGAAACTGCCCCTGACCCAGGTGACTCCTCCTCTTCGTGTACTATCTATTGATGGTTCCCCAGTGTCTCCAGGACTTATAAGATGGCGAACTGATCTAATAAGATTTTAAATTGGCGCCACACATGTAGAAGATATCTGGTTTTATCTCCTCGAGACCCCATCACATCCTCTTGTACTAGGCTTTCCCTGGCTCCAACAGCATGACCCTACTATTTCATGGTCCCGTAGAGAAATTTTAACTTGGGGACCCCAATGTATTGGTAATTGCTGTCGTCTGCCTGTAAGAGTTGCACTCATGGAAACGCCCCCTTCTGGCGTTCCTACGATACCTCCCCAATATTCTGATCTACAGGAAGCCTTTAATGAGCAAGAGGCCTTGGCTCTCCCACCCCACCGACCCTATGACTGTGCCATAGACCTTTTGCCAGGATCTATTCCTCCTAAGGGTCGTATATTTCCGCTCTCCAATACGGAATCCGAAGCCCTGAAAGTATATATACAAGATTCTCCAAAGGCTGGAATTATACGCCCATCTACTTCACCTGCTTGTGCCAGTTTCTTTTTTGTGGAAAAGAAGGATGGTGGGCTCCGTCCCTGTATTGATTATTGTGGCCTTAATGAGATCACTATTAAAAACCGGTACCCTTTGCCCCTAATCCCGGCAGCACTTGAGTCCGTGCATGGGGCCAAGATCTTCACTAAACTGGATCTACGGGGGGCCTATAATTTAATCCGTATTCGGAAAGGGGATGAGTGGAAGACGGCATTTATGACAACCCATGGACATCACGAGTATTTGGTCATGCCTTTTTTTTGTTTGGTAAATGCCCCGGCAGTGTTTCAAACTTTTATTAACGATATTTTTCTGGATCTGATACAAAGGTTTGTCTTAGTATACCTTCCAGGATCATGTTCTACATGTCAGAGAAGTACTCACCCGGCTCATAAAGAATAAACTTTGTTAAACTGGAGAAGTGCACTTTCAATGCTTCTAGGATTCACTTTTTAGGTTACATCATCTCTCCAGAAGGGGTGGAAATGGACTCAAGTAAAGTCTCCGCAATTACTGATTGGCCCACACCCAAGGACCTTAAACACATACAACGGTTTCTTGGCTTCGCCAACTTCTATAGAAAGTTTATTCGAAACTTCAGCTCGGTGGTTGCTCCCATAACCTGTTTAACCCACAAAGGACCCAGACAAGGTAAATGGACCCCTCAAGCAGAAGAGGCATTTTAGCACCTGAAACACCTTCTCACCACCGCCCCCATCCTGGAACACCCTGATCCTTCTTTGCCTTTTGTCGTTGAGGTGGACGCTTCTGGCCATGGTGTGGGCGCTGTTCTCTCTCAACATCATGGAGAAAAACAGATTCTTCACCCCTGCGCCTTCTTTTCTAAGAAGTTATCTCCTGCACAGATGAACTATGATGTTGGTAACCGTGAGCTTCTGGCTATTAAGTTAGCATTGGAGGAATGGAGGCACTGGCTGGAGGGAGCTCATCATCCCTTTTTGATATACACTGATCACAAAAACCTTGAGTATTTACAATCGGCCAAACGTCTATGTCCTCGCCAGGCCAGATGGTCCCTCTTTTTCAACAGATTTAATTTCTTTATCACCTACACTCAAGGCTCTAAGAACATCAAAGCTGACGCACTCTCACGGATCCACGAACCCCCTGAGGCTGAACTGCTTCCGGAACCCATCATCCCTTCTGGTAGATTCCTGGCAGCGGTCAGATGGGACATAGAAGTCATAGTTAGACGCGCCTTGGCTGGACAAACAGTACCTCCTCAGTGCCCTCAGGACAAGTTATTTGTCTCGACCCCAGTCAGATCTTCTGTCTTG